ATATTTATATTTATATACATATATATAATTATAAATATAATTATATACATATATATACTAATCACATACTCAGATCGTGTATTATAGGTTACTCACAATGAATGTGTACAATGCATGCGTATAAGGCTGACGGACAAGATGGCCGTGCCCGGTGCCAGGTGTCTAATCTCGTACATATTTCTTCAAATATAACAGAAAATAAATAAAACTGATAGAAAGCACGGTTCAATAAAACGTATAACGGTTTGTGCCGGCTTTAAACAGGCAATTTTACAATATTCATGTGAATTCGTGGCCCCAAATGGCGCCTACGGCGCCAAAAGGCCTACAAAAAGCCTCTCGGGCTTTTAGTTTTATCACGTTTTGGCCAGCACACTTACCCAATAGGTGATTTAATTCGATGACGTAAGTATGCCGTCGTGATTTTGAGCATTCCACACCCCCCCCCTCAAGAGACCTAAGACACCCTCCCTGAGATTAAAATTAGATTTACAGAACAGAAAGGCGTCTAATTTAGAAGGCTACGAGAAAGGTAAAGAAACACTTGACGTCAGAAGTTCATGCCGACCAGTGTCCCGATACACAGCGTAGTTCAGGATGTCAGACCTAAAACCACTCACAAACCGGAAGAATATACCGGAGGAAAGCTCTGGGGCGTACAAACCACTCTCATTAATACCAGAAGTGGGTAGATTCGCATTGTCTGGGGGGATTGGCAATACAATCTTCTTCAAGCTGAACCAGTACTTATTCCAAGATGTCGGTATATCTGGAAGTATTAGTTGGACACTGGCGTATCTCTTGTCGATCCCTCTGCAACAGGTACGATATACTTACCCGATGACAACGTGATTATTCGCTGATGGCGGTTTGATATTCTGCTCAAACACTGAAACCAATCGTGATTAGTCGGAACAAGCTCAGATCACGGAGGGTAGAATCTATGTTGGGCTATTCTTGTATTTCGGGCGTGGTCAATAGAGGGCAGTACACGAGTATGTATGTAGGACATACAGTCATCGCAAGCTTCGTTCCCACGCATAGAATGGACACTATGTACTGACTCGTGGTTTGTTGGATCATCTTTAATTCCTTGTTTTCTGTATGATTATATTCTGTATCGGACGCACGTGCAGGTACTTTATAATTTACGGTTACCTTAAAAGCTTGTTATCTGACTTGAATAAGCCTTTCGTCGAGTACTACGTCTGTAGATTCACGACATAGTGTAGTCGCTCTGCATTTGTTGAGTATAACATCCGTTAACTTCAACCCAATCGGCACCTTTGCCAAGAAATGTACAATGTGGTGTGTGCGCACAATCATGCCATTTTTAGATGATGGACGTAAAAGTTGGCAATATGACAAAATGATTCCTGCATTATAATAGTTCACTAATGAATACTAACACAGGGGTTTCACCTTTCTTAGATACTTCATCGGCATATAGTCTATCTGGGAGTGAAAAACGGGACCAGCTCGTATTTCGTCGAGTTGTTTAGGCTGTATGTGAGCTACTCCATGTCAATAGTCGTCGGACTACTTCTGAGCTACGTCATGGAACAGCTTGGAGTCGATCATGAGTATGTCTTGTATTGAAGGGATGGTGCTTATATTTTTTTTAGTATATTCATCATGATAGCATCAGGGTTACATTACGGTCCTTCAAACAAAACTCAGCCACTTATTATGTTCCTTGGTAGCAGTGGTCGGGTGCGCACTCATGCTATATGACTGACCGTCAAATACAACCCTCGATGTCGCGCGTGCAAGACCTAACTATGCATATTGTACTTGGCAACTAAATACGTTCTCTCATATCCTAAGATATCTACTTACCACACACATTGGCACACTCGAGCATGCACATATGTCCAGCTAGTATGAACATCCTAGTATATTTACGCACCACACACATTGGTATACTCAAGCATGCACATGCGGCCAGTTAGTATGAAGATCATATATCCTAGTATATCTACGCACCACACACATTGGTATACTCGAGCATGCACATACGTCCAGCTAGTATGAACATTACATATCCTAGTATATCTACGCACCACACACATTGGCATACTCGAGCATACACATACGTCCAGCTAGCATGACCATCACATATCCTAGTATATCTACGCACCACACACATTGGCATACTCGACATACACATACGTCCAGCTAGTATGAACATCACATATCCTAGTATATCTACGCACCACACACATTGGCATACTCAAGCATACACATACATGAAACGCACGACCGATATTCTAGCAACAACAGTGATTTCAGTTCAAAACCTCTTAAAAAACGTATCGGTATGTCCGCTTGTAATTTGTCTTCACAGAGAAGCACGTATTTTCTGCGAACTCAAATACCTTTCTTGAGTGTAGTGCTCGTGGAGACCTCTGCGATATATCGCAAGACTAGCATAACGGCATTTTATCGATGGATTTAAAAGGAAAAGTTCATTTTGAGCGATTAACTATCTGCATCGCACGGCAGTAGACATGCGTAGACATACTAGGCTATGGAAAAGGTTCAGTGTCTATGTCACAATCAGGCGGTAGCATAGACTTGATTTCTTCTATTCATAGTGCGCACGCGCTCGGTAGCTGTGCGGCGATATTAGGAACACATCAATACACTCATAGTTGCTCTACATCTCCTACTACTAAGCCGTCCTCTTTTAAACAAACCCGTTGTATTCTCTTCTGTGCACAGTGTCGCCTGGGGCGTGAACGTCATCGCTACTGGGATAGTTTCCTACGTGATGGTGAACAGGGCTATGGGTAAGCAGACAACCGATTGAGTTATCTCTTGGATCTCTCGATATGGTATATGAACCTGACTAGTAGTCAAGAAACCCCGTAGTCGATGAGTATGCTCTGTGTTAGGAGCTGACAAGTATCATACAGCAAGCGAGGTCGACAACGTGCTGGACACTCAAACAACATTTCATGCCTGAACTTGAAGGAAAAGTTGGACATAGAATCTCCGCTTTTGAGAACGGCCTGTCATTTAGACAGTGTCGAATTTTAGAAGTGGATATGTACCATCAACTCCAAATAGCCAAATGTGAGGTGCCGCGAATTTCGCAAGTTTCGCATTCCTTGACTTTAATTTCACCATCGAAGCTGGTGGCACACATAATAAATAAATTTAGGAACAAATGTATCATTGAAATAGTCATGAATTATTGTGCATACGACAGGGTGTTGACGGTAAAAAATGGAAGCGCGCACACAGCGGAAAAAGTTGTACCAAAGATTTTCCACCGTCGTAGTTAAAAAAGAAAAACAGCTGCGGAGTTCGGTGCCATATATTGACCAAGTGTAGCGAAGGCATCGTCAACAGAGGGCATATCATTGGCATAGTGGAGAAATTGGTTGCATGGATCGCCGAAAAGAATCAACCAGAACACCTCATACGCAACAGACTTGGTAGGCATTGCATTCTCATCGATATAACGCAGTCGCAAATGCGAGCGGTGCTTTGTCAAGCAATCACTTGTGTCTGCAGGGATTCCACAATATCCACTGGTTGAAGCAGCGAGCGCTTTGCGACTTGTCCGGAAAAGAAATTGCGCTTAATAAAGTGATTTGACAGCCGAGCCATTTCCATCAACTAGATTAGTTGATCCCTGCTTTTAAAAGGTACACCTCGATCGACGCTCTTATGTTTTGCAAATCTCCAGAAGTGGACTAGAAGGAGCGAGAAGATGTGGATCCGAGTCACATTCAGACATAAACACTCGGATACTAAACTTGTGGCTGCCACAGACGCGATAAACAACGTTTCCCAATTAATGCGGCGGCCGATTTTTGTGAAGAAATACTGAAAGCGAGATAGGCTACTACACAGGTTAATCGAGCAAGCTTATAATTGATAAGGTAATAATGTCATGGAAAATTTATCGACAACGTCTGCTGACTGATAATAAAAATGCAAATACAATTATAATGTTTAGTTTCTCTTTTACTTTCTATATATAACGTATAATTATGGACGCACCTCTTAGTCCTCTGACCCTCAATCACGTTCTGCGACGAGAGCATTGAGGGAATCAGGTCTCTAAATCACAATTTACAACGATCCAACGTATATGGTATAGCACGAGGTCCTTGGCATAGCATGTCTCGCTACTTATGTCTGTATCCGAATGTATTTACACCTACCATTTACGAATGTATGAAGATGGTGTACATGTGGAATAAAAGTGCTGCGATTCAGGATAGCACAAGAAAACCCCTCGTCCATACAATATCGCAACCTAATTGACCAAACACCTACGTCTACACCGTCTGTGCTGACCAGTATCATCTCCGCGACCATCAACTACACAGAGGAATGTTCTTCCATTCCGTAGAACGATCCCCCAGCCCTGGCACCTGCGCCATCATGCCCACTTCGTTGTGACGCACTGGATCGCTGGGACACCCGAGAAGAACCACTGCCACCACCGTGGCCGCCTCGGTTATACATGGAAGAGGCACCGCTATTGTTGTTCAAACTTCCCCTCGGTCCACCGTTTTGGTTGCTTTGATACATAGAGCCGCCAGGTTGCATCGTTTGACCGGGAGGACCTCCGGCCGACATACCACCCTGGGGATAGAAGGCCTTCTGATACACCATCATTTCTTTCTCCTTGGCCCTCTGACTCTTGACATAGAACGCACCGATCACGCACAGAATTAGACCCACGGTCCCGAAGACGACACCAGCTCCAATACCGACAGCCATTGTGATGGAAGTCTGCTCGGCTGCATCGTCCTCGACCTCGATATCTTCGATACCATTTCGGCTGCTGAACTCTCCCTCCGCAAACGGAACAAATTCAAGCAGACCGTGTCCAATACCACCAGCAACTTCTCTGCGCTTCATGAAGTCCATACCACCAATGTGCTGAACATCTTCGATGTCAGCGAAGGCGTCGTACTTCCAACTGTCCTCCTCAATTGAACGTCTCCTTCGGCGTGCGGTCGAGTCTTCGTACTCTACAATCACATACCAACAGAACATATAAGACGATGCGTTCTGCATAGTCTCTACTGTCTCACCGGCCTCACAAAGCCATTTGTCAGTCATGGGAATAATAGTATCGATCTTGGGTGGTATATGATTAGGATCAAGTACACGAACTACCTCACCGTAATCGTCATATACTAACTCACCCGCTTCGTTGGTCGCATCCATCATGATGTCACCGACTCCTAGATGGAACACGGGTTTAAGAATGGCATCCAACTCCATTTGAGTCATCGAATCATCATCGTTGTAAAAGTAGTCGTTTTCACCGCACGATCCCTCAATCTTCTCTCCCAACTCGTTGGCGTAATGTCTCTCGACCTTCTGAATCTCGGCGCTCTTGATGATCAGTGCTGTCTTGTTAGTCCAAAGTTCGATGGTCCAGTACGTATCAGATCTATCGGGAGTGAACGCATTCGTGTCACGATCGGTCTGGAACGTGTCATCGGATCTGAGCCTGACAGTGGGCTCGAAAGCGTCGCTGAGCTGGAATGGATCTTCTTCACAGAGTCCATTGGTGTCGATGTTGAAGGTGATATTAGCGTGCTGCCCCTCATCTTCACAGCCCACAATACCGGGCACACAAGCCAAGGGCAAGTTCTGAATGTGATAAGTCGCAGTCAGATCACAAGACGTGATTTGGAATGAAAGTTTCTGCATACAATAACTGTTCTCATTCTGACATTCCTCGGCACAGTCACCTGTCACGACCCAATCGCTAACAGTTGTTTGATCATCTTCCATACTGTCCTTATCCACTAGAACCCCACCCGTGGAGTCGAGGGGATATATACCGTGTGGGCATGGGACAACTAGAGAGATCTCCACTACCGACGTATTGTCGTTAATAGCGGCTAGATCCAAATCTGTGATAGCCGCATTGATCTTCTCGATGATACTATCTCCATCTGTTGGGTCGGTGCCATTATTTCCCCCTCCTGATGGTGTACCTTCGTCTGTGCGTACGTGGACGTCCGTACAAATCTTGTTCAAACGGTCGATACTGATAGACATCTGCGCTAGGGCCTCACCCGTACGCAAATGTGAGAAGGCAAAAAAGTCACTCTCCTCAAAATCATCCATCGTGATTTCTTCCTCGAAATTCAATTCGACTGCCGCATCATATGTAGTGATGGTAGCCAAGTCTGTTACTGTGGCACCACAATTTGTCATATAATTGAAGGCAACACTCACTCCAGCGTTAGCTCGGCAGTTCACAGTCTGGATCTCCAAAAACCCGCGAGACATTTTGTTGCTATCAGTACTTAACTTACAAGAGCCGAAGTGGATATCAGTCAACGCACGGGTATTGAAATACGGACCAGCGTCACCAGCGATAACTAACGAGTTACTATATATGTGCATGCCTTTGGGTGCATCATACAGATCATACATGAAGGAGATATTCAAGGGCTGAGGGTCCTCAAACTGACATGACGACCCTGTGGACGAGTCTTCCAATGTGATGTCCTTGATACTCGCACCCAGGGCGTCTATATAGAACGCAGCTGGTACGGACGTACTATCAGCTCTAACAATTGTACCAGCCGTACCTACAATCTGCACCGCCTTTGTGACATGCACAAATCTATCAAGCTCATAGACTCCTGCGTCCAGAAGCAGAGTATCACCATCTGCTACCGAAACCAACTGAGTTTGGATAGTATTGACACCTGGTGCAACACTGTAGTCAGTTGCAAGCACCTGCCAGGCGGCACACAATGCAACCGTGACAATTGGCCTGAACATAGTGACCAAGCGTGCTCTGTTTTAGTATTTGTTGTTACGTTTACAAGAGATGATAATATGTTAAACTAAGCAATGGGTACTTAATAGTGAGCGGTACCAAAACACGTTGTTTGTGATGCTGTGAGCTATGGCTGAATGCAGCAGTCACCGTGTAAACTGAACCACCTACAAGAAACGCTGCAAAGACTACGAGTTATTGAGCCGCCTCTTAGCACGGGTATAGTTTGAAAGCAGATACTAGTGTCGTGTAACGAGAGTTAATCCCTAATGTATAAGTACGTAGTTGACCTTTTTTATCTAATGCAAGCGAGGCCAGCACAAAGTGATGAGTTTAAAGTAGTCTTCAATACTTTATGTTGTATATTTCCTGCACCTGTTTGGACGAATGTGATAAACAATGGTTCGTTAAATTGATTTGTATTCCGTAGGCCTCTTAATTTTAAAATTATAGATATTTCGCAAACAATAGCATTTTTTAGTTTAAAAGAATGTCGAGGTGAAAAACCTACCGACTATTTAGTATTTACACTGAGTCTGTGAGACTTGAGTGCAGTCACCTGTGACTTGTGCGGCGATGTGGGACTGAGTGAGGAACTGTGGGACTCGGCTGGAGCGAGGGTGCAATTCTTTGCAAAATTCTCAATAGCTGGCGCAGATTCACAGTAAAAATAATAAAATAGGTAAAATAACTACAATTTAGCGAATGGGATTTAGAATCTAGAAGCTACCGAATCAATGCACTCTTCCGCGCCTCCAAAGTTTAATAGAAAACAGATACAATTGGTCATAATTAAATTGCGGGAAATCAGAGCATTCTATTATTTGGTTGAATGTGAAGTGTGCTCTGAAACATTGTGACAAACAGGAGGTCTTCGCCTCTTCGGACTCATTTTTTAATTTTTAGGCGGGTAAAAGGCAGTTAAAATATTTGAGTTAAAAATATTGGCAGGTTTTGTCTATCCTACTAGTAGCATGAGTACTTTAGTTTTCTTGAAATATTTAAAACAACAAGGCCGCGTGCGCTCAGCGCTCAGGCCTCAGACTCAGAGCCTCAGGTCCTCAGAGGCAAAGAGGGACAGTCCTCTCTACTAGTAGAGGGCTACTATTTTTAATTAGTATTACATAGTAGAGTGCCCAGAGGCGATCCAATTTAAAAAATGTGGAGTATGGTTTGTCTAGAAATATAATCGCATTTGAAAATATGCTAAGATTGAAAATATGGTCTTTAATACATTAAAATAAACCAATGAACCACCTACAATCACGTAGGAATTCTTGACTGCTGCATGGTAGGTTAGTTTTTATTACGTGAATTTCAAAACAAAAACCATAGCTTTCTAAAACACTTCAGTTCCGAGTTTCGACTCTGGCACTGAACAAGTTCCCCCGTAAAAAAAAAAAGTCAAATTGCTTTAGTTTTTGGTATTTGTTTTTACATTGTTATTTTATTGAAACAAAAACAAATAACAAAAACAAATATACCCTTTTTGAAGAAAAAAAACATCAACCTGAAAGTGGAACAAGCATGACCAGCCCCACCGGCCCACCTCGGGCCGGGGCCCAAGATCATTCGCATAAGTGATCAGACCATGTGACATCTGCTGTTTTACATATTCATTGTAAATATTTACATAGCCTCCTAAAAAGAACAGTTTTTTTCTTCATAAATAGCCTTCTAATAAATTGAAACAGGTTTGTTGTAAAAAAACACAACGGTGGTTCAAACTTCCAAAGTTCCAGCAACAAGCCAATTTCAATTTTCATCGGAGGAGGGTGGATACGCCTACTAAAAATAAATAAACACCAATAGACGTCATGGGTAATGTCATGGGTCATGCCGTCAGCCCGTCTTGGGATTAAAAATGCACCAGGCTATAAAATAAACAAGCTAACATAAATATTACAGACGACGTCATAATTCCAAAACAGGCAATATGTATTGTATATGTAGACGTCTTTTGAAAAATAGTAAAGCATAGGTCATATGATATACACATCTGACATCACATATATATACATATGTAAACAACGCTGTCCTTGCCTGCCTCATTTGTTTAAAAAACATGTTGAATATATACCTTGAATATGTAAACCAATGCTCGTAATATACGGCGTCTAAGACTAAAATATAGGGTAAATATATACATCATGTATACTAACGTTCTCTTATAGACGACGTCTTAATTCAAAAACATAGTGTCCTATTCGCAGTCACGCGTTTTACCAACCATATACAAATAAATCCAGATTTGTACTGCACCCCTGTTTCGATAAAGAGTAGCTTCCTATTTATACAACTTGATATACGCTCTTGAGATCACTGTATCTGTCGAGCTTCCGAAATTTGAAATACATACTGGCATCCACCAAATGGCACTACACATCTTCGTTGCAGGCAAATCACAGACTACGCACGATTCTGCAGGGATGCATTACTTTCACTGATATTCAGGATTGGTTTTCCGGAATTGTTGATTGAACATAGGCATAACATTATTATTAATGTATACTTCCCAGAATCCGTTCCAATGCACATGCCCAGTGCCGACCAATGTTTAAAGCTTCATACCTACTTTCTGAATGAGAATTTGTCTAATAGCATAATCTGGCCTGCTTTTGACATTCACCATGTCAATGTTAGAGTTTCAGTACTTTGTTTAATATATTTCGATGGCTGTTAGGCATAGTATCAAACGCTATGTACAATATGGTCTCACATAATCATCGAGAAACCTGACTCCCTAAGGAAATCTGAATACTACTTACATAAAAATACACAAATAGGTCATGTAATAAATAGCATTTTGGACATCGAACAGCACACGTGTTCACGTGTTCAATTCAAAAAATCATAGCCTTCTGAAAATTGAACAAAAAAATACTTTGAATACAATTGCAATGCAGTTCGTTTATCTGCTCATTTTTAGCCTTCTTCTTTGTATAAATGTGTTGTGTCATCATACGAGGCCCAACTAGGCGAGTTAACACATTACAATAAGATTATAAGTGTGTATTTGCCAGACCTGCATGTATTTTATTCATATTTAGTGACAAGAAGTTGTGACTTGTGACAACTTTGAACTATCGCTTGTGGTAAAAAAAACAAACATAAGAAACAAAAAAAATGAATTAAAAAAAATTGGCAGTTGTTTTGATTTCGGGGTTTTTTCAATAAAAATATATAAAAAGACAAGTCTTGCCCGTTTTCATATTTTGTTTTGTAAAAACATAATAAATATATTTAACTCTTCTCTTGGGCTGTTTGTTGGGCGATGTTTTGATTTTTTTCTAAAATTGTTTTTTATTAGAAAAGTATAAGAAATATGTTCGTTTAAACAAAATAAAAAAATACATACGAGTATGTATGTACAAGAAATAAAATATGCACAACAAGCGGCAGGCCGAGTATGGCCCGAGGGCCGAGGGCCGAGGTCTAAGAGCCCAAGGCCCGACTGCCCAGTGCCCGAGGAAAAATGCATTTATTGAAAAAAAAATAACAAAATAGTAAATATATACATGAAAACTTGTTGCAAAGAGTACACCCCATCCCGTAAACGACATTTCTAAAAGCGGTCTGTTATTTTGTCTCTTACCAGTCACCAGTCACCACTCACCACTGTCACCAGCGTCCAGTTGTAATAGTACATCATCTATTAATATAATACAACAGTTGTGGCTATTTTACGAAGCTCGGCTTGAAAGAAACTTTTGTTAGAAATAAATATCTTCTTGTAATTTAGTTGCAAACCTGGTTACCTGCCGCCGTACAGGAGGTTGGTATTTATTGTTTTATTTTTGTTGACAGCTAAACCACAGCAGGCGAAAACCCCCCCAAACTTGGTGTATAAAGGCTTTGGGACTGATTGCCCTAAAAGTATTATTTTTGGGATCAAAGGTGCAGTAATGTATATAGAGGGACACTTTTTGGACCTAAGATTGTAGCGATGTCTGCACCACTGTCCACACCCAAGTCCCAAGGATCGAACACTCGATTCCTGCTTGACCGAAATCGATACCTACAGTTTGTTCGGTGCTGTTGCGCAACTATTTATGTCCCACTCAACACCAAATATCTTTGGGGCACTTTGGACTTTGGACTTTGGACTGTTGATGGGGGCCATCAGAGTCAGACCCATCGCTAACAGCCTCATACCGTCTCGATTTTGGGCTTTGGGCTTTTGGCACGAACTGACGAACATCTACTACACGGAGATAGAGATGATATTATAGCCATCTATCTCGCTGATAAAGTATATCTATCTATCTCATACTACTTAGTATAATACGCAGACGAGGTATCTAAGGTAGTTCTGAGGGGTGCCTGCTATCTAATACATTTATCGCGCTCGGTCACGTCCGTGGCTCAGGCACGCAGCAGCAAGGTTTAGAAAACGCACATCTAGAGACGTTACACAACACACCCCAAAGACAACATGCAGACCATCAAATGCGTGGTAGTGGGCGACGGTGCGGTCGGAAAGACTTGCTTGCTCATTTCATACACAACAAATAAGTTTCCAAGTGAGTATGTGCCCACTGTGTTCGATAACTATGCCGTCACTGTCATGATCGGAGGCGACCCTTATACTCTAGGCTTATTCGATACTGCCGGACAGGAAGATTACGATCGTCTACGTCCCCTATCGTACCCACAAACAGATATTTTCCTAGTATGCTATTCAGTCGTCGTCCCAAGTTCATTTGAAAATGTACGGGATAAGTGGGTGCCAGAAATTGCGCATCACTGCGCCAAAACTCCCTTTCTTTTGGTAGGCACACAAGTCGATTTGAGAGAAGACCAACAAAGCATAGCGAAGCTACAAAGACTAAAGCAAAAACCTATCCAGTACGACCAAGCCGAGCGAATGGCTAAGGATCTCAAGGTGAGCATATGTGTGTTTATTCAAGGACTGTTTATAGTATTATGGCGGATATTAACTTTCTTTAGCGTTATTCTTTAGAGTTGTTTACGTTACGTTTGTAGGTAGTAAGTTTAGGTTATAGACATGTTCCGAATTGTTGTCGACGTCGCAAATGCCGAAAACTACTTCGTAGGGTCTATATCGTGTATTTACCTTTCCTACTCGAGTTCCTTATCCGAGTCGTGGTTCCTTTCATATTGGTTTGTCGAGCACTGTTATCCCTATTTTCCTTTCATATTGGTTTGTCGAGCTCTGTTCTCCCTATTTTCCTTTCGGTGTTCAACATGATAAGTCACAAAAGCATGTGTACACCTTTTCAAGAGAGATGTTCTTACACTTTCGTCAGCCAGTAGTACTGTCGCTGTAAATGCGTGGCGAGTTTGAAAAGTATGCGAATATTCTTGTATGGAATATAGTTGCAAAACCTCACTTGTCGTGACGTGTATACGTTCGACTTACCGGACAATCGCACCACAAGAACACTGACATGGGACCTGCTTGTATTCTTACTTGATGTTCGTAGGCGGTGAAATACGTAGAGTGCTCTGCACTGACGCAAAAGGGACTCAAGAACGTTTTCGATGAGGCCATTTTGTCGGCACTACAACCCCCAGAGTCATCTAAGAAGAAGAAATGTACACTCCTATAAAGTGCTCCTGTGAAGTGACTTAGCTTGAGTTTGGTTGCTTCTTTCTGATACGCGTTACGAGTTCTGCTGCTATATATTCCCGTGAATCTGTTTTGCATCGGTAATGAGAGTAGAGTATGTATGGTGCGGTTTTTATTATTCAATGCAAAAATGTTCGGTTCACCTTCCGCATTTCCACGTCACCTGCATGCGTATTTCCAAGTATTATTGCACGCTCTTCTCTGCATATCGACAAGTAGTAAGCTCGAGATTACATCATATATAAATGGAAATGGAATACATCCTCCTCGATTCATATCATATGTATATTGCATTTACATTGCTTTATACCTGCAGGCATATAAATATGTCTATACACACACACACATACACACACACACACACACATATATATTCTATATATATATATATAGATATACANATATATCATGC